ATAGAATCATTAATTACGTATACAAACCTTATAAAAAACGTATCATTTCCTTATTTCGATTTCTTATAGGGATATCAATTACCACTTCGTTCTTAATGGGGTTATGAGTTAAAGACAGCAAAGCAATATTAAATCGTTATACTGCTCATATTGAGTTTACAAATTGGTTTATTGAAAAACTAGAAAATCACAAAGCTACTCCTAAGGCTTATCTTGAGAATTGGCGACTTTTTCAAATTTGGATAGTTGATCCAAAATTAAACATTCAAATTAAATGTTTAGTAAACTTTGCTGAACACTTTTATGAACCTCTAGTGTAATTTATGGTAAAACAAGATCCTATTTCACGACTTTATCAAAATAATCAGTTAATTACATTATCTTTTAGTCAGCATGCTCATAAGATGCCAGATAAAATCTTTGAATAGCATAATTTTCTCAAAAACCTTACCAATAACTTTGAAATATAATTTTAACAAAATTTGGAAATATTTGTAAAGATATTAAATATTGTATGGCTATTAACCTTTTGGATAATATGATTCTAGCAACTTTAGATATTTATGCTGTTCTTTTTCAATCTGATTCATTTGATGAGTACAGTCAAACCTTGATATAGCGAACCCTTGATATAGCGAATTTTTAAATCAAACATATTAAAATTACCTTTACTATAGTGAACTAGCCAATTAAATTCTTTAAAAAATTCGTTATAAGCTTATAACGAAGTTGATATCCAGATCCTAGAATTCGTTATATCAAGAGTTCACTGTATATAGAAACTATTTTTATGATTTAGACATTTGCCTTTTGATGAAAAAGACATAATTATAACAAAGCTTTATTAGCATTTCTCTCAGATATTTTTTATTGACAAGATATAAATCATCCATTTGCAGAAGTTATAAAATTATTTTGGTAAATTTTAATGATTATTATATTGAAAGTAAGATAAGAGTTCATACATTTGCAAACAACAATGCCGATAATATTATTAAACAAGCTTACTTGATTGGTATGTATTTTAATTTGATTTATTCTATATGTTAATAATTATTTATATTTATTAAAATAATTTAATTAGATACGCAATATAACTGTGAATTTAAAAATATATTTGAAAAAAAAATATGAATACTCTTATAAGCTATTAACATTAGATTTGTTATCAGAAAAGATAGTACTATTTTATTGGATTATTTTTGTGAGCTTTTTAAAAATTGTGGAAAAAACAAATTAGAAAAGAAAAATTGATATAAATTAGTTACCTTAGGAGAAACTGTTGTTCTAAAATATCTTCCAACTGGATATAGTACTAGTTTATCCCTATTACCCAATATTTGTGATCATTGTAAAAAAAAACTTGATGATGGTGAAACTTTAGTTTGTGGACACAGATATCACTTTGAATGCTATCAAACATTAGAGTATAATTGTCATTATTGTGAGAAATATTATAAATGCAGAATTTATAATAATGTGAATTCCTTTTTAAAATGATTAGGAAAAGGTCCAAATACTGTATACTTACACTGAAGAAAAAGAAAGTAAAAGTGTTGAAGATATTACAAATGATGATAATGAAAAGGTGGAAGAATTAGAAATAAATCAGAATGTATACTTAGTTTTTATAAATGCACTTAAATAAGTTAATACTTGGTAATTGTATGCTTAAGTTATTATTATAAATATAATAAAAATTACATCTTATGTAATTTGCTAAACATTCGAATGCATTGATGCAATGAAATTAAACAAAAGAAACAGTTTCAAAAAGTATATATGCAAAGTTTTATTATTAGTTATTAATTAAAAAAAAGTTTTATACAGGCCGATCATTTTTTAATTGAATTTTATTATAAAATACATATAAATAATTATGTAATAATGCTACTAAATTTAGACTTTACCTATGCTATATACCCACTATAATTAATCATCAAACTGATGCAAAGTAACAAAATTCATTTCATTGTGCTTATAATATGCAATCGATCTGCTTTTATATTTTTTTTAATTCATTTTCACATCGCTTAGAATTGACGTACAGATTAGTCACAGAACTTCGTCTGTATTCTAAGAATCAGAACTTTGACTGATATATGACTTCTGCAATGTATTTATCTGCTAATTAAATGTAAAGTTATATGTATTATAAGATTATTAATTAAAACTTTTGGATGTTAGACAAATAAACTCTTTAATTTTTCGTATCTGTTTTGGAATGATAATTTTTGGTTTTTGTTATACCATACTTCAAGAAGGGAAATTCCATTATCTTGACACATGTATCATTTTTACCGATCATGATTAACAATATCTTCAAGTTTTTTAACATCCTTATACCAGCTAGTGCTATGAAAGCCCATTGTATTTCCAATGCAATTCGATATTTTTGAAAGAAGGCATTAAGCTCTAATTCATTCAAGAAAGGAAGACGAAATTCAATTATTAGCTCCTCTTTAAGAATTTTTTTAGCTATCTGGATACATTTAGTCTGAAATTTGTGATTTTTTTTGAATTGTCTTTCTGCCTGATCTTGCTCTAGTTTTAAAATTCTAGCATCATGTCTATTATTTACTTCCACCATCTGCTTTATAAGCTTTGTATTTTTGATTTCAACTTTAGCAAGCATTTTTCTAAGTTCAAAAATCTTAGCATTTTTAGCTTCAAGCTCAATAATCTGTTGACTCTATAAATCTATTTCAGATTGCATTACCTATATTGAAATGATAATTATTTTTTATATTCTATATATTAGTATTCAAAATCATGATCAAGTAAATTAACTGTATGCATTTTATATGATTTGGAGATTTTTAAATCTGAAAAATCCATCTAATGCTAGCTAGTACCCATGTCTAAAACAAGTTAGCTAATCTATATTTTTTTTTACCAACAAAACATAAAAAAATCTTTCAAGTTAATGATTATCACTTCAGATTATTAATATACAATACCACTGCAAACTATCTTATATACTTAAATCTAAAAGGCTTTGAAAGCCCTGAACTAGAGTCTGTCTACTAACAACATTATTCTATGTAAGATGATTTATAACCACTCCAATGAGATCAGAGATGTTAAAAGTTCCTCAAAATTTTTTATGTGGATATTTGAATTTAGCTTATTTACAGCTCCTTTGCTAATTTTATAATACCCTATCAATTTTAAATTATAACATGATCTAGCAATTTCTTCGATAGTTAGATCAGTAATTCTATAAGAGGTAAGGTTGTGTTATTAGAACCTTAAGTAAGAGCGAACAACATTACAAATTGATATTTCAGAAAACTCTGTGTGATTAGAAATATTTAGATATTATAGTTTGTGGCATGAATTTGCTATATCATTTTTTGGTTCAAATCTTACGTGTAAATTAGATATATTAAGATACTCCAAATTTGGGTATGATTTTACTATTAGTTTTAAAACTTTATCTGCAGGATCTATGCTTTTTCAAAGTCTAAGTGAATTATACAGTCGACCTTCTCTACTGTCACACCCCTCAGAATCAAAAATAAAAAGTGTAACTATAGTGAAAAGTGACTATTTAGAAGGATTTTTTATAGTATTATTAAGTATTGGTTCCAAAATGATGTGACTATAATAACATTGTGATTATAAAAGGGTTTTTTTATATAGTGTTAATAGGAACTGGTTTTTATGAAAGGTGTACTTATAACGGAAGATTTATATGATATGATTGTATAGGGGGTGACTGTAGAGAGAGTCAACTGTATTCGGAAATGTGTTTACAATACCTTTGTTTTTTATTTGAAAGTGAACGATAGTTTGATATTTTAAGATGAGTTAATTTTGAGTTATAAATTGGTTTATGCCTTCCTCCATATACTATTTTTAAAAATCTTTTTAATCGAATTTGATCTTTTGCTTCCTTTCCCTTTAGCTCAATATGTCTTCATAGAATAGAGGTATTGCATCTGTACACAATCAGAAAACAAATAAAGTAGGATGGAGAGATTTATCTATCGATAAATAATATAAAATATATTCTAGTAATTCCTATATATTAAAAATACTTGTATACACCATAAATAATATATACTGTATTATACCCTCATATTCAAACAAAAAAAATCTTTTAACTTGACAAACATTACCTTAAATCGCTATTTTGTATAAACTAATATTTTACTTTTTTGAATGGAATCATAAAATTATCATTTAATAATATTTTTGAATTGCATATATTCAAAGTTGCTTCACTTTCTCACAACTAAGTTCCTTCTAAAATTAAATCAGATCCCAGCCAATCTAGCTCAAGAACCATAAATTCATTGGGCCAATACTTTTATACTTTTCATTATTATTAAAGCTAATGTATAGATTAATCTTTCCTAATATAAAATAAGTTACATCTGAAGTTTTAATATTATTATTTTCACTGTAATATGTAATTACTAATTCAGAAATATATTTATAGCTAATGTATTTACCTCAACACATGTATCAATTAATGCTCCAGTAGGAATATTTTCTTCAACTACATAATTCACAATCACTATTTTTTATTATGGTATATAATATTCAAAGTAAATAAATAAATCTATTCACAAGTATTAGAGAACAATCTGGTATCCTATAATGGTAGTAGTATATTATCTCTCAGCCTGATTGGATAATTCATTACTTCAAATTACAAACTGTTTAACCTTTCTTGATTGTGTCTTCTTTTATTGCTTATGAGAAATAACCTTTTCTACCTGATACCTTTGAGACCCCCCAATTATTATATACTGTATATTTGCAAACTCTTTTTTTTTTTTTTTATATATATATATTTACAAACAATTTTCTTTTCCTTTCTTTTTTATATATATATTTATTTACAAACATTTTTTTTTTCTTTTTATATGGGAGTGTTGCCAGTAAAATCAAGTTACAGGGTAATTTGAGAAAAAGGTGATTAAAAAATTTGTAAATATAACGAACCAATCAAATTTGTTACTATTTTAATTATAAACTCGTTATAATCATGTTTTAAACCAGTTATAAAATTAGATTGAAGTTGCAACTCTTAAAGTGATCTTAAAGCAAAATTTGATATCAGTTGGTATTGCTATAAAAAAATATCAAATAGCATTATTTATCCATTGCTAACAAAATCAACTTCCAAAGTATTGTTACATGAAAAATATTAAACATTTATCTGTTGCCAACAAAATCAACCTCTGAAGTATTATTACATGAAAATATCAAACGGCATTTTTATTTATCTGTTGTCAACAAAATCAACTTTTAAAATATCATTACACAATCAGTATTTTCAGTCTGGTATAAAAATTTTTTATTGTGCAACATTATCTTTATATATATAGTACTGTACATCAGTATGGAACCCTTAAAAGTTGGATACTTGGATTTGAAGTATGGAAAAGAGTAGTTAAAAAAAATAATTAATAAA